TTTGTGTACGCCTCGGCAGCTGGTGGTTACGCAGCCCCGCGCGCCGGCCTCGCAGGGTCCGCGCGGTGCGAGGTGCTGCTGCTCGTCAGCCCGAGCGGAGGGCACCTCGTTCGCGGGTGGATGACTGGAGGACAGCGCTTGCCTTGCTGGTTAGATTTGAACAGTGATTCAGTCTCCCAGACCGAGAATGATTACCTACTTCCCTCTTCTAAAATGTCCAGGAAAAAAGCTTTACCTATCCGCTATTTTTATTCTGTCAAATATTTCCACTAAGTTTTACCTATGTTTTGTTTTACATCAAACATTTCTATGTGTTAGAAATTTCTCTTAGTTTAAAAAATAATAGTGCTTGAATTGATAAAGTTTTTTCTGGTAGGAAGAAGAGTCTTATTTTGCCACCACCAGAGTGAAAGAGCAAAATTAAGGTTTTCTTCAATCTGGACTGACAACTTTTGGATTTTTGAAAAATAACCCCCTCATTTTTATGTCAAATTTTGTTATTACAATAATTAATTATTATAATTATCATTACTACTACTACCACCACCACTTGAAAATTGCTAACAAACCACAAGGCCCTGTTAGCTCTTTTCTGACAAGACTTCTGGGCTCTCCTGTCTAAAGCAAAGGAATTTGAGAACATCTGCTTGGCCAGAACTCCCTGCCTCCAGGGCTGCCCTCCCTACGCTGCCGAAGAGCAAGTCCTGCTCCGTAGCCAGGTTCACTTGTACAGCCCGTTGCAAAGCCGCACGGAAAGGCCCGGGGGGGCCAGCTGAGACTGTCCTCGACTTCGGGGGGCCCTACGGCACCTTTACGCCCTCCGACCAGCCCTGACGTGCTATGAGACAGGGGAGGGAGAATTTCTAATGGAAGTGTTTTAGCGTGTCTGTCCCCAGGTAACGTGTAACTCCCGGGACCGTTCCACTTGGCCCAGTTAACGCAGACGCTGTTGCTCTGAGTAGAGCTCGGCGCACACGCAGCCCCCTCCCCTCCTTCCCCCCTCCTCGCTATTCGGAGCCCTCCGACGCGGTGGTCCGGAGGCTGCAAGGACCCGGCTGCGCTTTCTCTCCCGACTACACTGCATCCCGCAGGAAGCAAGAGCGACAGTAACAACGAACTGGCACAACCTAAACATTAATTACAGTTAATTAGGGTTTTGGCATTAAAATGACAAGCCGTTCGCTTCCTATGACTGTCCTAAGAGCAATTTTAGAACAGAACTGCGTGCGTGGGGCTATGCAAAAAGGGGCACAGCATTCAAGAAGCCTGGTAAGACGTCCCAGCAGTGCCAGGTGGTGGTGAGAAGCCTGTTGGGCCAGGAATATGCTGTATTTGACAAATGACTAGTCACTGCTTATCGCTTGAGCCAAATGCAATCTAAAAGATTGTGTTTTCTGCCACAGTTCAGTTCAGCTGCTGGGTAACCGGTACCAAAACCAATCAGGCTCCTTTTACACCCCCATGCCTGTCTTCCATACATGCTAATAAAGGCATTTAAAATCTAATCTCCCTCTTGTCTTCCCCAAATGGAATCCAGAGGAGCTAAATATGACAGTCGTTTTGCAGACAAGGCTCACAGGGGCATTAGGGGTAACGTGCAGTTTTAGTTCTGTAATGGAGTTTTAAGCCCCCGAGAGATAAAGCAAAGTCGGCACGTAAATGAGGCGCTTGCTCCAAATAATTAGCACTTCTAGAGCACTTTTCATCTTCAAAGGGCTTTGTGCACATCCTTGTGAGTGTGGTACACGGCCTCCTCTCAACAGATGGAGAAAGAGGCCAAGGGTATTTCATGATGTTTGCAAACAGAGCCGGGAAAGGACCTGGAGGGCTGGTGAGGTTTGTGCTCAGCGTTCAGGGGCTGTTTCCTCTGCTTACAGAAAGCCAGGTGGATTTCTGCGCAGCTCGCCAGCTCCGAAGTTCAGCTCGGCAGGATGGAGAGCTAGCTCAGCAGCGCTGGGCTGTAAGCATTAACCTGGGTCTACAGTCAAACCTCAAGGGACGCACCTGACCTTTGAATAATTGAGCACTGCAGTGAAGAGGCTTTAGTAACTGAGCTCGCAGTGTGAGGAGAGGAGCTGTTGGGGGTCAGGGAGGGAAACGTTCCTCAATTTTTCATCAATGAGAAAACACAGATTGAAACTCTGCTTCAGAGTACAAAGGAACGGATGTTTTGCAGGGGAAAATGACAATGGCAGGGTGGGTTTTGGGCTTGTTTTAAGGTATGGTCTGTGGTGGCTGCCGGTGTGGAAAGGTCACATGTATGGTCGGGTCAAAGGGAGTGGCTAGGGCTCAGCTTGATGCTAAGGAGGCAGAGCTGTCTGAGCTCGGCTCCTCCCAAGGGGTTGTGGAAAAGGCAGCTGTGGCCAACCCGTTTATCACGGAATGACAGAACGGTTTGGGTTAAAAGGGACCTTTCAAGGTCATCTAGTCCAACCCCCCTGCAGTGAGCAGGGACATCGTCAACTAGACCAGGTTGCTCAGAGCCCCGTCCAACCTGACCTTGGACGTTTCTAGGGATGGGGCATCTACCACCTCTCTGGGCAACCTGTGCCAGGGTTTCACCACCCTCATTGTCAAAAATTTCTTCCTTATGTCTAGTCTGAATCTAGCCTCTTTTAGTTCAAACGTGTTACCCCTTGCCCTGTGGCAACAGGCCCTGCTAAAAACTCTGTCCCCATCTTTCCTGTAGGCCCCCTTTAAGTACTGGCAGCTGCACTAAGGTCTCCCTGGAGCCTTCTCTTCTCCGGGCTGAACAACCCCAGCTCTCCCAGCCTGCCCTCCCAGCAGAAGGGTTCCAGCCCTCGGAGCACTTTTGTGGCCCTTTATCTAGATGGATCTTGCACCGCACAGCAGCTGCACAGGCTAATCTTACTTGGCACCAGTCCCAACGGCAGCGACCCGTATCACACCTTTCCTCCTCTGGCGTAGACGGTCCCTGTGCCCTGGCTGTTAGCAGTAATTTCTGGTTCTCTTTTGTCATGCCTTTTGCATATGGTATGATTATTTTTTTAAGTGAATAAACTGTTTCATTGCTTGTCACTTGCAAATATATCAAAAGGACCCAATTACAGCTAACACTCTTGGTATTTCTTGAACCACACACAGGGAAACAGGGTTTAGGCTTCCACTGCAATGTAATTATGCTTGGAACTAAACTAAACCTTGGCTTCAGAGGTTCTCGATGTACCTGTACTCTTCAAGAGACATAACATCGCTTTCCCAAATGGCATAACTGAGGCATGGGCAGCTCAGAAGACCTGCATAACATCAAACCTCAATGCAACAGAGAAGCGAAGATAGAACCCAGGGGTCCAGACCCCTGCTTACTTTCTCTGATCAGTAGATTTCCCTCCTTGCCCTTAATACAATACTACAAAAACATTGTTGCTTATATAAAATGCTTTTAAGTCGAATGGGCTACCAAGTACATAATAAAGCATCGGGACTGACTGCTGCAGAATACGAAAACTCTTGCGAATATAGCAATTACTTTAAAAAGAGTGATTCATTTGAAAAGAATTATCTCACCAAACATTTTGCAAGAACGATGACATGTTATCCCAAGGAAATTTTGAGGTGACTTAGAAATTACACTCAGCCATGGAACAAAAGGAGACAATGGAAATATTAGCTTCTGCTCAGATATTTTTAATAAAGGAAAGCTTGTTAAAAATAAACTGTAAAGAAGATTTGGGTGGAATCACAGATCATCTCATTAGCATTTGAGGAAAAAAAGCAAAGATGAAATATCAGCTCGTAAAGTCTTTTCTGCAAAGCCAATTTTCTCCCCTTCCATCTGGTTTATCTGCATTCCAAAATTCTCATTTTCAAAGAAGTTTCTAAAACAGCAATTCTGACTGTTTTTGTTCTTACTAAACAAAGCAAAATATACCCAATATAGAAATATAAAGAGGAATGCAATGAATTACGATTTTTTTTTTGTCTGACAGTTGATTTTTAAAGCCCAACCAGGGTTTAAAAAGGAAAAGATGTGGGTAATTTCACACCTGCATCGCTTCTTACCCTGAAAAGCAACCATGGGGCTAACCAAGTCTTTAGTCTCTGGTCAAACACAAACCGCCATCAGTGACCCAGCGACGGCCAGCACCACAGGATCAGACCTTTAGCAGGAGGGGCACCCCCAAGCACTTATAAGACTTGTAGAGAAAAAGGAGACATGGCAAATGCAAAAGCAGCATAGGAAGGGCAAACTGGAAATTCTGCTGTAGACAAGAATTTGAAATTTGCCCAATGCCACTTCTCAACTTTTTCTGGACTCTCATTTGGAGAACAGCAGTAAAAAAGTGATACTTTCCTGCAATGAAACAATTAGAGAAGTAGACTATAAAAATGGCACTACAAAGAAATATCTAGAATTTTAAAGGTGGTATTCAAACAGACGATCTTTATTTTGCAGTTTATTAACTTTGAGCATAACTTCTTATAAAGAACATTAAAATGAAAGTTAAGAGAAACTTACCCCATAGACCAGTTCACCCACCATGCCATTCCATATCTTAGTCTCAGGGTCCCTAGCTCCATATTTCCCATCTCCAACAATTGACAGTTTGTATTTTATTCCAACATGTTTTGCTATTTCAGAAGCTAAGTCTACACAATATCCTTCATATCTCTCATTCCCTTCTAGTTGTTCATGGTTTTTCTTATACATTACATATGGTGATTCCTTTGAAACAAAAGTAAAGATCAAAAGTCTATGAATGTAAAATACAGCTTTAAAACATACAAAATGAGAACTGTTATTATCCTTTATATTACTGGCAAGTATTTACAATATTTCCTGCTTTAGTACAGAACTTAGAAGAACAAACTTTTGCAGTTGAAAAATCCTTGGCTTCTTGTACAGCCACACATACTATTGATTTTAATCCTAGTATGGACCCATTGAAGACAACAGGACTACTCCATTTACACTTTCGTTTGCAGGATTAGGCCTGATTAGAATGTCAAATAGCATCACTGTAGTAATAATTCAGATTTTAGTGTTTAAAGAACTGACATACCCAACACCTGTACCATCAAAATAATTTCCTAAGGCCCCAGTGACCTAGAATGGGGCTCTGATGGAGATATTTCCAAAGCAGCCTAAGGGAAGCTAGGCTAAAATCCTCAGCAGCAATTTTTGTCACTAAATTCCCTTAGCCTTCTTGGAAAATTCTAGCTGAAATGCTGATTATTATCTCGCTAAATCCATAGGAGTACAAAATACAATGCTTCAGGAAATAGCATAAAATTGGCTCATGCTTAAGAGAATTGTAACAGGCATAGAAGTCACAAACAATACTGTACAGAGCACGTCTGCTAGCGGCACTGGGGCTGACACGGGTGCTGCTGTTTATGAGACACAGGTAGAGCTTTACTCCTTTGGAATTGCATGGGTATAGGTCGCTTTTCACCCAGTGCTAGAGCAGTTCCAGTTCTCTACAGGCTTCACTGTGCCACCCTTACTCAGTCCACAGGGGTGGAGTTTACAGGAGCTGTACCTGAGTGAGGGGTGCAAGATTTGACCCTGCAGCAGGAAGGCCAGATCCTGCAGTCATTTACATAACATGCATAATAACTTCACTTAGGTGAGGCGTTTGATTGAGTTTCAAGTGTCTGAGAAGCAGCAAAGCGCAATGTTGAGCTCAGTGAGCTCCTCCTTTGAGCAAACTTACTGAGACACATCGAAGTTTGCAGGGTCAAGCCCTCAGTATGTCTCTGGAAGATGCTGAACTTTTCAGTCACTTGAAGTCCCACAGTATTGACCCCTCAGGAGCCATGTGTCTTGTTTCCTAAACACAAACACACTAAGAACATAAAACTTACCAAGATGGTAGTGACTACTATAGTTCTGTTCTCCACAGATGAAGTGTCGTTAGACGTCAGCTGATCTAATGCTGGCACAAATCTTTCATATTCGTTCCAATAACCAGCCTATAAAAATGGAGATTGTTACTTCATTACACACGTCTACAAGGATTCTGGTGCATGAACCTATAGCAGGAACTGTCAAAACATATGGCTTTGTAACACTTATTCATGCAACATTTTTGCTATTGAAGGACTACATTAGCTTTTACTTAACTTCCTTAAAGAAACAATGTTCTCAAGCCCATGTGCAAATAAATACAAGCCAAATCTAAGTGAAAATACATATTAAATTCTCCCCACCTAAATTCACATCATCATGGTGCCTGTGGAATAAATTCTCCCATATCCACTACATAAGAATATACTATAGACAAGAAAATAAACTGCCCAGCACTCTGAGTAAAATTCTTTGATTTTGACATTTTTATCCGTATTCTGCTGCAGTTCCGACAGTGAATAGAGGCCCTGCAGACATGCCTGAGCTAGCTCTGGAGTAGATGCACAGACATCGTTAGCAATGCAGGCACAGTAGCGTTATCTTCAGTACGGGATCCAAAACCCTCTGCGAGCACGAGGAGACTATTTATCATCTGGCTTGTGCTGACCTTCATGGTCCTGTGGCTAAATGGCTACGCTATTTCCCTAGTTTTTGTGTTTCTGCACAACACAGAAGTAACACTTTTGTCTGCACTGTAAACCTAGTTGAATGGCTGGGCCATGTCCAGAGGTATTTTGTTATCAAATATGTGCAGAAGAGTTTAAGGAGCCTCAATGGTGACTAAGCAGGTGAAATCTCCATCGCCAGGTGAAATCAGGGGGATTCACGTGCCTTGGCCACGCAGACTCTTCTCTCGATACTCGAGAAAATTTTGAATTATTTTGAAATATTATTTTTGAAAATCTGTCCTAAATTTCTTTTGTAACAGGGATCGAGGCAACTATCCCACTTAGGATCTATACTTTATTTAGGAGACAGGAGAATGAGTAGCAAATCCTAATTCAAACCATACTTATTTTCTGTTCATTTCAGAAGGTTTCTGAAACACACTGGCTCCAGCCTCACTACAGGTCCGAGGCCTGTTACGCAGAGGAATTTAGGGGATAGGGTTGAGCACGGGACCATGACAGCAGGAAAATGCTTGTCACTGGAAAAGCTCCAGAGGGTTTTAAGGGAAAAAGCGGCATCTAAAGTTGTCATGGAAACGAATGAAGATATTACGCAGGGCGAGTGGTTTGGTGCAGGAACAGAATAGAACAAGGTTCCTGGACAGGGTACACAGCAAGAAGGTTGGGTTTCCTCAGGGCCCTGTTATTACAGCGCGTGTATGGTATTTTTGAGTTTCAGTAGTTTGTTGGAATAAATATTTATGAAGATGTGAAATTTGGATGCATATCTTGAAACTCACCTTCCGTGATCCAGCGGCTTTCATTTCATACACATCAATTGTGTAATTTGTTCTCCGCCCATAGGTGTCAAACTGGATGTTCCCCGTCATTCCTTGAACTTGCACCTTAAGGGTATAATCAGAAAAAACATTTTAATAGAAGATTCACTTTATTTTTTCCCCTGTTACATTTTGCAGGAACCCACTAGCTCTAGCACAATTTTTATGTATATAAAGAGACTTGTAGCGCTTTTGACCCAGCCAGTTATACTCTTTGTAACAAAAACAATCCCAATTGTCTCAGTTTCAGCTGTACATATTCTTTGTCAGTTAGTACTGAGCTGGTGACTCACTACCGCAGAGTGAACTGCATTTAAGTATAAGTGAAATTAGCCCTGCAAGTGTGTTAAATGTAAGAAAGACTGATTCTGCCATGCTTAGTCACGCTTAGTCACTGACACAGCATGGAGTATCAGCGAGGCACATGCAACAATTCAGTGCCGCTAAACCCCTCACAAAATGGTATAGAGCGATTTGCGATATGGACCAGAATCCTGTATCATTGCTCATTCCGGGAAATGCTTTATTTTAAGATCAGTCCCAGTGTAGGAGAAAGGCATGAATGTCTTCTCTGAATGAGCACAGGCAATTGTCTCTAGTGCTTATGGAGTTTTGGTCTCAGTCTGGATGGATGGGTGTATAGACGGTAAGTCATTATCATTACCTACTCACATGAATCATCTTAAGGGGAAGTATAAGGTACTTACTTTCAAAGAAAAAAACCTTTCTTATTTCCCTGTATGAAAGGGCGAGATATTTCCATTTATCACTTACCAACACTGACAAGCCGTCATCACAGGCAGAAGGGGTAACGATCTGAAACTTCAGTAGGGGTAAATCAGCTTTAATATTTAGCAAAATGCTGTAGAAGTTACAGGAATAGGTGATGGAAGGCTAGTCAAAGGGAAACTGTTCAGGGCTGGTGACTGATCTGCTATTTATGGTTTAGAGATGGTGCAATCAAACTTGTTATGGTGGACAAGGCCACATAAAACAGCCACAATTCCTTGGATCTGAAATTATCCAGTGAGCCAAATTCAGAGTGATGTATAAGGAGGGTGATTTTTTTTTCATCAGTAAGTGGATTTGGACCTTTCTTAAAACAGTTTATATCATTTCAGGGGTCTAGAGGAACATGCGAGTTACTCCTGTCTCCAAAAAGCTAGAGAGGTGAATGAAAGCCAAATGTGCCCCTAAGAGGTCTTATCAACTGTGGACTGAGCAAATGTATTTGTAGGGTAGTTGACATATAACTTGCAGCCAGATGGGAGCTGCTGAGCCTGCTTTTGGCACTTGCTGGAAGCTGTCTGGCTACCTTGGCACAGCAGTGACTGTACGTGTCAGCAGAGCTTGTTAGGCCAGCTTCATCCTGATGTGTACTGAGACATGAGCGTTGTGCACTTGACATCTTTTGACTTCAAATTTAATTAGTTTCTGTCTGTGGTGGGAAAACCAGCACTTTTCAAAACCTGGCTGCACCAAGGCAGGAAGACTCACCAGGACGCAGAACGCTTCTGGTAGCAGCGTGGGGAGGGAATCACAAATGGAGTGACCATTTATAACTGCCCAGATTTGTTCAGGTAAACTGTCTGCCACTGACCTGATGTCTTAGAATCAGCTTTAGAAATACAGACATGCACAGTTTTCAAGGCTGTAGGGAAGCAGACACAGGTAATGCCTATTTCCCTCTTGCCAGCAGGATAACTATAGTGTGGCACTGAACCTTCTGCTGGTACAGGATATTTCAAAGATGTCTTGGAAAAAATATTCTTAGCTGAGCTGTTGCTACAGAGTGGAGAGGAAATGTTAAATCAAAAGTTTTTTCCTGAAGGACAGATTCAAGATTGTTGTTTGAAAAGAGGGAGAGAGTGTGATGGACAGGATGGGGTCTGGAAGGCAGTGTGGGCTGATCTTGGGAAGCACTTGTTGGAGATGTATATAAACCTCACTTAGATGACTTTGAAACACTCAAACAATACAAGACAACCCACTGAAAGTCAAACTTCTGCGCTTTTTGCCAATCGTGAGTTTGGCTTTGTATATTTTATGAATTACTTTTTTAAAATAAATCCTCCCGAATTAAGGGGGCGTCCTGTAGCAGTGTTGGTTTTCTTTGTTGACATAAATACCTCGTATCTCACTTTTTTGTTTGGAGTTTTATGTTTTGCTTGTAATTAAGTTCAAACGGACAGTACATATTCTTTAACTATTGTGAAGGTTGAATTTAATTAACTTCTCTTCAAAAGTGCGTAATGCTACATTAGTGAACGCGCAGTTAGGGCATTTATTAGGAAGTGACATAATGGCATAAAAATAGCTCTGGCAATATGAGACTGAACCATCTCTCTCTCTCTTCAGAGTGATATAATCTGATTATAACCTTCTATAACTCATTATAACTTTCTGATACAGTCTTTCCAATTTGATCATTGAGAAAAAGCAGTAATTAAGCTAAGTGTATGAAGGCTGACCTAGGATTTGTTTATACCTAACATGGGCTTAATTCTGATCTCACTCACTTCAGTTCTATGCCTGCACTAATATAATCAGTTCTAAGGGGTTTGTTTTAGAGTTATTTGAACCAGATCAAAAGCAGACCATATTCTTGTCTCTTATAACTACAGAAATGTTACCCAATTTTTCCTGTTGTCACTTCCTCTAGCACACATAGCAGCCTAAAAAGACTTAAAAATCAACAACATCAGAGACCAAAGTGAGGTAGGATCCCATAAAGTAACTACTGTTAGACATAAAAAATAGGCCATGCAAAAGGTAATCAGGCTGAGTGAAAAGTTACGCCAGGAATCAGAACTGCTTTGAGGCTAAACTGTGTCAGTGCTCAGGCTGGTGCTGAAATCCAGCCGTACTGCTATGACCATGTTACCCCATTTTTCCTGTTGTCACTTGCTCTAGCACACATAGCAGCCTAAAGACTTAAAAATCAACAACATCAGAGACCAAAGTGAGGTAGGATCCCATAAAGTAACTACTGTTAGACATAAAAAATAGGCCATGCAAAAGGTAATCAGGCTGAGTGAAAAGTTATGCCAGGAATCAGAACTGCTTTGAGGCTAAACTGTGTCAGTGCTCAGGCTGGTGCTGAAATCCAGCCGTACTGCTATGACCAACAGCATTTTTGCCATTGCTTTAAACCCATCGGAGTTGACTCTTTACTGGCAAATTATCAAAATTGCATACATGTGTTTGAGTTCATAAATGCATGTATCCCTGCAAGATGTACAAGTGCTGAGGACCTAGTCTAGTTCTGTTAGATTTGCAGCTTCAGCCTGACTTTAGAAACCCCCAATACATGTTCGTTTGCAAAATGGCTTGTGCTCGCTCCCACGGGAAGCTTGGGTGTTTCGGGGGAGTCAGACTGTAGATGCTCTGGTGTGGACATCAGGCAGCTGCTGCACCGGTGCCACAGGGATGTGATTTTGGCCAAAGTTTTGAAAGCTACTTTGTTATGCCTTGCCCTCTACTGGATATGTTTTAGCCATCCTTTGGAGCTGGTCATTAAGTTTCTTTTTTCTTTCCTTCCTTTTTTCCTGAGGAGATGCAGCTGTTTGTGTGAGTACAGAACCTCTGTGTACATGGAGTAGGAAAAAAAGTTTGGTCCCAGGAGAATTCCTTCCTGTTGTTGTGGAATATATATATTCATCAGCTGGTATGTTTGCCCTTACCATTTTCAGCGCTCTTTCTATATCAATTCCTTGGCTCCATGGTACTGCAGGGTTGGCCAAGCAGTCTCCGGCACTACCTCTCCTGGAGACATCCACACGCTGTCTTCGGAGGTAGCGGAAAGCCTCTGCTATGACCAGGACTGCATCATGGGTCAGTGCAGACGTATACTAAAATAGAAGCAAATAAAATATGGTGACAAACTGCAATGTTAGAATTGCCCCAGGTTTATCAGGTCTAGTCCTCTTTGTTACTCTTGGAAGAATCATGCTTGCAAGACTTTTGCTCGCTCTCTGTCTTGCCACAAGTGCTTTATATAGTTTAACAATTCCATTTATTTCAATTAACAAACTAAAAATATCTTCATTTTGTATAGCATATAGCAGCAAAATAACAAAACCAGTTTAGAGTTGCATAAAGTTTAAATTTATTTGGAAGCTTGCTCATCTAAATGAGATCACTAAAAAAGTCTGCAATTCTGTGCTGGCCCATACTGCTAGCAATAGCAAAGACGACCTCATATTTGGTTTTTGCTTGGAGTATTCTTTTTCTTTTTAAGAAGATTGTTGAGACAGTTTTGAATTGAAGTTAACATAAATCATTTCTGTTTGGACCACAGTCTTGATTAGGTCATCTGTGGCAAGGAACAGATCAGATTACTTTTCTTCGAAGACAGCTATACAAGCAAGCAATCACAAAATACACTTTAGGCATTACACTTCCTTGGTAATTGCCCATCCACAGTAAATCTGAGGAGGGTGGTAAGCTTTGTGTAGCAGCAAGTCTTCAACAAAACCCCCCAGACTCCTTAACTACTTGTTCACGTTGCTGTCAACTTCGTCCCTTGGTTGCCGTATGTACCTGGTGACACCCCGCAATGCTATAAATTTAGTATCACCTAGAAAATGTCATGGAGGTTTTTTTTCATGCGTTTTTCACATTTTTTCCACGTTTATGTGTTTGTCTGAAGGTTTTTCCCTCCTAGAGTGGCTCAGGCTCAGCGTACAACACCAACGGTTTCCACCAGCATTACTGCACACCTAAAATTTAAAGGTCTGCGTGTCTGTACATTTCAACATGTACATTCTGGGAGCAACTGAATGTGCTCAGTGTGTAAGACCAGATTTCAACTCCCTTGTAACCGACCCTTTGTATTTCCACAGTGTTTGTAAGAGAACGAAGAGAAGATAAAAAAGAATGGAAGGGGTATCTGCATGTACTGGTGTGCCTGCCCTTCTCTCGGCTGTCTGTGTGATACCGCAGAGGTCCTGAATTTAGTGCCAGCAGACCTGCTGCCCATGCGTGAATTAGAAGGGTGGAAATCCAAGGTTCGACTGCATGTCAGCCCTCTTTGTGGGTAAGGCTTCTTAAATTCAGAAGTTAATTTTATCCTGTGGGGCAGGATAGCACAACTGGTGGTCTGTATTTCTTAAAAATGTGTATTATCTTACGACAAGCTCTTCAGTTTGAGATAAAGCCTTAGGAAATCTGCACAGAATGAGGCGCATCTGCATGTGCAGATCAAGAGAACTGTATCTGATAAAACAGAGTGCAAAGGTAGGATTGTGAAGAAGGTTATACAGCAGTCATTCTTACTGAGTTTTAAACGACAGCAGTTTATAAACTCTTACGGGGTGTGTGTGGGCTGGTTCCTGTTCTGGCTGTGACTCGGTACTGGTGCTCTTTTGACGCTGCCTACCTTCCCCTCTTCCTGTGGTGCTTTGCAATGATCAACCTCTCCTCTTCCAGCAAGTTAACAAAGGTTATACATCACCTTCCACACAACAATATAGAATCAGATAGTAATTTAAAGGTATTTGTTCTTGTATTAAGAAAATATTGTAACAGCTGTCCAATCTAGCATGACATAAAACTTAAACACTGATAATTTTTCCAGCAGACTGCGTCAATTGTCAGTAACCTTAATGCAGTCCCTTCCAAGCCCTGCCAAGAGAGCTATCTAATTTTCTACTTTATTTGAATTCTACTTATAAATGCATGAGCATGCAAAGAGAAAAAAGAGAAAGAGAAGGGAAAGGCTGATAAAATTCAGAATAAATTAAACATCAGGGCTTTAATCTCTAGGCAATTTTATTTCCTAATCAAAAATATTGTACATCAATTTTTAAGTATGCTTTTTGTCTGACTGACAAATACTGTGCACATTTCTATAATGAGCGGTCCATTTGTGGAAAGGTAATGTAATCTTTGTGTTTGTACCATATACTTAAGATTATTTTTTAAGGATGGAGAATAATTTTTCCCTCAAGGTAAATTGCTTTCAAGTGGAATAAAATCTTCCCAGGTTAACTTTATATACTTCAGAGTTTTTAAGATTAGTACGATACTTATCTTCCCTTCTGCATCACTGCTAGGAAGCTTTAGAAAGCAGGCCTAAGTCCGAATCAGCAGGGAACAACACACTAATCCCAGTTTTGTGAGGTTCCATTTGCGTGCGTTTGCTTCCTCTGAAATGCCAGCAAGGCTGTGAGATGGCATGGCATGAAGATAATTTTCCTTCCCCACAGAAATCAGATGATCCCAGGGATGGAGAAGTATGCCTCCGAATGCCGCTGGCCTTCTGGCAGCAGAACGGCGTAACTGGTTCCTATTCTGCCTGTAGTCCAACACAGTGCTACCATCTACCCTTGTAACCCCCCATGCATTGGGCTGGACTAGGTTCTTCATTCCTAGCTAGTATTTTATGTTTCCCTGAATTTTGCCTTACAATAGTGACAGAATTTAAGGCCCTCTCATCAACCACCAGTCCGAGGTTTTATTTGCCTGTGCCTATTGATGAAAAGGAATAGGCCTCCCCCACCAAAAGAGGAAGAGAAAGAAGGACGATAATAGAAGTATTAATAATATGCAGTGGTCCTAGAAGATTTCATGACTTCCATCACTGGACAGAGTATCCTTGACGCACTCCTCAAACAAGACAGTGAATAGCATCCCCCTCTACTATAGAGATGCAGAGGCAGAAAAAAATCTGGGGGAGATATTAACAGGTTGCAAATCTCCTATTAAGAGTAGTCTTTAGTCCACCCAATCTATGACAGTTTTGGTGAGCCTGGGACTTTCACTCAAAAAAATTTGGAAAATTTTATTGCTTGCAGTTATATGATCTCCAGCATGTTTAAGTAAAGGACAGTGGTGTAAAATACAGGGTTAGATTATGATGGCAACTGTCAGCAGTGACTAGGAGGTGGCAGTGGCTTCTCAGTGAATCCAGAGCTACTTTATTTTGCACATGAAATTCTCTACTAGCAATAAAATGGACCAGTAACCCACAGTTTGCATTTAAAAACTAAGCTAACTAGCCCCCACACCCACCCCAAGACTAAGTCAAGAAGTTAAAGTTAAAAGTTTTTACATCCACTGCACAATGACAGGATTTGCAAGACCAAGTTTTTGCCTCTGAGGAACACCCACCACGGTGGTCATTTGTGTCCAACTAACAGCCTCTGCTGGAAGGGCAGTGAATGTTGCAACATATTCTAAGCAGGAATCTGTATCATACACATGCACACATCCGGTGTCAAAAAACCCCAAAATTATTGTTGTAAGCAACTCATATAGTCTCCATCACTGTCAGGGTAAAATAAATACCTTTAATGGTGAATTTTTGGCTTCAGGGAATTCTCTTTCATCGAGCCTCACCCAGCGTTGTAGAAACTGTTGAACCATTGGGTTTTCACTATTAACAATCTGGAATCCAGTAATGTTGGCACCTCCGTGCATCACTCTCTCCAGAACAATGTCTGTGAAACCCTGGGAGGACACACGTAGAAACCAAGAATCATCACCATCCAAAGTCCCTGTTTTTTTCCCCTCACTTTTACCTGCTACAAGTATAGCACAAAAGAAACAGATTAATTTCCCTCTTGTTAGCTGAAAATATTCTACCAAGGAAACAATTACTATCACAACTGGGATTGTGATAGTAGCATAGAATAGAATTTAAAATGCCTTTTTGTTCAGACCTTTGCGACAGAGAGCTGCCCTGTTGTGTTGCGCAATGTGGTACGTAATATTCACTGGTCAGAAAGAAAACAGTGGAGAAACCTGAAGTACCGTTTCCTCTTTTCTCCTCATCATGGTGAAAACTGGCCAAAGACCTCAATCCCATTTGTACCATAAAGTGCGCACAAAGGTTCAGCGCCAGGAGCAGAAAACCACTTAACACCCATATTGCTCTGTGGAGGCAAAGCACACACCTCCTCGCTAGGCAGTTCTCCGTCACGGCGTTACTTAACATTTCACTTGCAAAGAGAACGGTGTAATTTTCTCCCACTCTGTTGTTATTTATTCCTGAGGCAGTAAATTGGTGTCGTCTTGATTAGTATGACTTGATTGCAGTCATGTTTACCTGAATGTCAATGGTTACACATGCTAAAAGGTAACCCAGAATAAGAACCCCTGTATTTCTATGCACATGCTAATCAGTGAGATCATGACTGGTTCTTATAATGCAAAATGACACATCTTAAAGTTATACAGTACTTATACTAAATAAGAGTATTTTAAGATTTGCCTTTTCTGCTTTAATCACACCAAAACATGGATACAGATAATCTTCTACTAAGTGGGATTGCCAACTTGAAAGTGTAAGTTTTGGAAAAACATTCTTCCATTCAGTAGACACAGAACCCAAAAATCAGTCTTGCTGCAGGATCAGTTATAATATTAGCGCTTTTTCTAAGGAACTCTAGCAGGTGGTGTTTCAAAGGAATCATAAACATCCCTGAAAGTCAATTCTAGCATCCAGAAGAAGCTCTGATACAGATAAAAATGTTCTGTCTTGTCCTGGGGTAGGCCAACACATACACAGGCACCACCCCACACTTTGAAATACAGAAGAACAGCTAAACAGCTGTTTACTTGATGGAATTGTTCTAACTTACAGCTTCCTCCCACTTATTTTATACACAAATATGCTACAATTGTTATTCCTGGAGTGCTTAAATTTCAAATACGTTACATAGAAGATTATGGTTGTCAACTATTTATGAGGATACAAATTAGTGGAAAATATACAATTAAATTATTATTTTAAAATTAGTAGAGGATATGAGCTTCTTAGACAAAAGAAAGACTGTAATTGAGTACAAATGTATATATAACACACCAATTCTAGTATTTTCTGAAGTAATTCTCAAAATGCAAGAACTCATTCACGCATTTCCTCTTTTGCTGATTAAAAGTTGACACAACTTGAACAGAATATGTTACCCTCTAAACCTTAGCTATATTTGTAATGAAGAAAAGTTCTTACCAGGTTAGCTAACATGTAGTGATAGCCTCTAGAATGTTTGCCAAGGATTACAACCTGTGAGAAGAAAAAAGCTACGTATTATTCAGTTGTAAAGGATGACCCTTGAGTAGTGGGAAACAGCCAGGAAACGAGTATTTTGGTAATCCTCTAACCCATGGGTAGCATGAGTATTACAGACACTTGACTTTACAGACATGATGCAGTCACTTGTGTTTTTAACACGGGCAAAGTACAAAGAAGAGTAGCTCACAAGGCTGAGAAGACTCAGCTGGTGGAGATGACCTTACCTGGCAAACTCACCCTAGTGAGCACAGAGCCTCCCCTGCTGACCAGGTTAATTTTAGTTACCAGTTCAAGGATTTCTGCTCTGAAATGAGGTTACACTGTATCTGTTTACCTTGTTCCTCGTTTGTGAAGTGTATGAGAGGTGGGTGACACAGCCCCACCACTCACTGCGCATGTTAAACTGTACCGGCACCGTGGGGCTCGGTGGGCTCCAGGTCCTACATGGACCTGCTGCCCTGAGAACCCTGACCAAGCCTTCTCATATATGAAGACTTAAAGTTAAATTCCTAAAGTTATAAGTGGTGACCTTCAGTGCGTTTTGACAGCTTTCAAAAAGCCCTGAAAACTTGTTGCTTCCAGGGCATCTAAAAGGACACATCTGACCTCACCTGTTTAGCCAAAATCACGAAACAAACTATTTCTACTCACACAATCAACGAGCAAACTAAACAACAATCACTAGTCAACATCACTACATGTGATGTTGCACATTCCACTAAACCAACGTGTCATGTCCTGCCCTCCCGGACCCCACTTGGGCATCGCTCTGTACAAATGGAGTCATTAAATGGAACGGCCAAGAGACAAAAAAGCAGCGGGATGAACTGAGCAGCTGGATCCTGTCAGGGTAACGGGGAGGAGTGGAGGCAGCACTGCCTGGGAAGCCTGAATCCTGCCACGCTGTGTGCTCATCGCCACTCCAGTAATCCTGTGCTTTTGCAGAAAGCAGGAGAAACCCCACAGTTCTCACGTCTATGCAGCTGGCTGCTGGCTCACCAACAATACCCCTTGTACAAGATGATGCCACTGCATGTTGCACTATTCCGTCGCCTTCAGATTATAATCTCAATAACATCCATCTAGTCCCACAGCCATCAGGTGGAACAATGTCCCGCAGTAAGAATTTAATTAATCGTGGTGATTACAGAATCAATCTTACCCAGACTTGCTGGGTTAAGCTATCAAAAGCTAAAACCAGCAAAAATAACGCTGGCGATACACCACAGGTGTATCACTGTCTATACCCAATGAGCAGCTCAAGTGAACAGATGATGCTTTTTGATGGAGAATCATCTGAAAATCTATAAGCACCATACTAATGTACTTCTCCATCGTCACCAATAAATGCTCCAAATGCCATACTCTAAAAGACATCTTTTCAACATGACCACTTACATCTTTGCTAAAAACAGATGACATTTGAGTCATTGACTTTAGATATACTGCTGAGCCTGTTAAAGTTCTTGATTAAATTATTAAGTTCCCAATTGCATCTTTGGGTCGTCTTGTCCTTAATAGATGCCATTTCTTTTAAATTCACATTTAATTCTGTAGGAATTTGCATACTTCCAGCAGTCTGAAAATAAATTGCTGTTCAGGTCCTCTTGAGAACTGTATGTACACTCTGTTGGTAGAAAGCATCTGCTTTCCCACACTCACATTTGTTTTCTATGGAAATGTGCAGGCTTCCTTCAGATCATCTGGTGTGCATGCTATTTGCATACTGAGTTCGCTGTATGTTTTAACTTCATCTTAAAGGCAGCGATTTAATTCTAAAAGGTTAGAGACAAAGAGCTTATTTAACAACAATACTCTTTGTCGTTCTAACCTTAATAACACATAAGAAAGTTTTTACATTTCTATCCAGAAATGTGTTTGTTTAAGAGAAAAATGCCATGACAGATGAAGTCAGAGGCTGTAAGAAAAACATACATGGAGCTGCTACAGGCATCAGGAGCAATACTGCAAATAGGAAATGTAGGACTCATTAGCATAGATCGGACTCAACTTCCATCTCATCTGTTGTCATATGTCCAAAATGACCAGAAATATTTCTGTTTAGTCCCTTAGTGAGTTCCAAGGTACTACAGTCAAGCTTTAATTCATAAAGCATCTTCCAGAATTGACCTGCCAGTATTTCTACTCAATCAACCATGTTAGTTCATAATTATTAAACTGGATCTTAACAACGCTTTTAAAATTCACTACACATGCTGTCCTAAAGAAGCACAACTCTCCTCTTCCCTCACCTTCCACCCTCTACCAAGTGTCCAGCACCTTGAATGGAGCTGCTGGATTAGGGAGCCCAGCAGAAACAATCACAGACATCAGTGTGACTCCTAGGGGAGCGAAGGGGTGGATAAAGCGTTTTATGAAGAAGGAAAACAGGAGCATAACAAATAAATCTCATCAACTGCTTATATATTGTGAAGCTTATATAGAAAGTGGGATATTGAATAGTGGTGGTGAATAGAAAGCCAGGATTACAGCACAAGGATTTCACAGAGCTACTTTGCTAAGCTTCACTTCCGAGACTTAATATTGCTTTCACCTTGACTGAAAGAAAAGTGTGTAAGATTTTATACTGAACAAAAGAGGAGGGGAAAAAATGGCTGGAAACTATCATGAATTATTCAGACTTCTGATCCCACGTAATTCTTGCCTTTTAGATAAAAAGATCATAATGTCAGGTTTGATACAGAAACAAATGAAGTTTGTATTTTTAATTAACTCTTTGGATATTTCCAGTTCATTAAGAGAAAATCTAGAGGGAATATAACTAAAATCTATCTGGTTTTAAAATAAAAGTCAAATCTGCTGGCCAGCACCAGGCTTACTGGAAGTACAGACCTATATGCCAAATTTGAGAAATTAAGTCAGCATTGCCAATTTTAGTTTTTCATTTGCCTGGGGAAGATATTTTTTGAATGAAAGCAAAAAGACAACTTTGTTTCCACTGCATCAGTCATCATGATAATGAATAGGCAACTACAATTTTTTGCCTTGCTTTTACATTTTTCTTACAGTTTTGGAAGATAGCATTATCGAGATTAACTGGCTAACATTAAATTGGTATGGAGTATCGTGATATTTCTAAAGTCATAATGATGACTCTCTCATGACGTAGCTACAAGGCTACACAACACCTAAGAGGAAGGACAGTGAAGAGGACGCGAAATAGGTTTAATACTAACCTCACAATGACTCCGTTACGTTTTGACTTAATTTGCTACTCAAATTACAACCACAGCTAGTTCCTGGTGTAGAACATGGATCTGGGGGTTTTGGCCATGAAAATTAAATGTTGGAATTAAGGGTGAACATTATGAGGAGACCGGTGAATTCTTAGATGAAAATCAAGGCAGGAAAGCCATTTTTAAACTGTAGTCACGGAGACGGATCTGTGGTTTCGCTGGAAAATTCCTCCAAGGACTTGACGAGGAACTAGAATGGTAAGAACAGTGTGCAGGTGAACAGCAGTGGCAGACCAGAGGCAGGGAAAGAATGGGTTAACAAGAAACAAGACTCTGTGGGCTCAAAAGAAATCAAGCCATGGAAGAACAGTGCAAGTTTGGTAGGTGGGACTGAGCAGTCATGTTTTGTCTTTTAGAAACATCAATGGTTTGTCTGTGACTCATAAAAGGGAACAATAATTTGTCTTTTATGGCTGGAGGAAATCACAGAAGCGGGGAGGCTGGCAGGGGTCTCTTCCAACCCCCTAGCTCAAAGCAGGGGCAGCTACAGCAGGCTGCTCAGGACCATGTCCAGTCAGGTTTTGAATATCCCCAAAGACAAGGATTCCACAAGCTCTTTGGGCAGCCTGTTTCAGTGTCTCACTGCCCTCACAGTAAAAATGATTTTTCTGATGTTTAAACGGAATTTCCTGCATTTCAGTTCGTGCCCTTGCCTCTTGTCACCAGGCGCTGCTGAGACTCTGAAACCCAGTGAGACTCACTGAGAAGAACCTGACTTCGTCTTGTTCATTCCTTCCCATCAGGTATTTATAGACACTACTAATATCGCCCCTGAGCTTTCTGCTCTCCAGGCTACATGACCCAAGCTCTTTCAGCCTTTCCTTGTACGTCAGATGCTCCAGTTCCTTAATTGTCACAGGGGCCCTTCACTGGACTTGCTCCAGGATGTCCATGTCTTTCCTACACTAGTGAGCCCAGAACGGTACATGGCACTTCAGATGCGGCCTCACCGGTACTGAGTGGAGGGGAAGGACCTCTGCTTAACCGCTGACCATGCTAATCATGCGGCCCAGGATGCTGTTGGCCGCCTTTGCTGTCAGAGCGCAGTGCTGGCTTGGGCTCAGCTAGTCTGCCAGGACCCTGAAATCCTTCTCTGCAGAGCTCTTTCCAGCGAGGAAGCCTCCACCAGTCTGTACTGGTGCATGGGGTTATTCTTCCCCAGGTGCAGGGCTTTGCATTTCTCTTTGTTGAACTTCATGAGGTTCCCCTCTGTCCACCTCACCAGCCTGCCAAAGTATTGCAGCACAACCACCTGGTCTATCAAACACTCCTCACAACTTGGTATCATCTGCAAACTTGCTGAGAGTGCACTCCACCCCATGACCTTCGGATCATTGATAGAGAGGTTGAACAGTATTAGCCCAGTACCCTTACGCTACTCCAAACAGTGACTAGCCTCCAGCTGGCCTTTGTGTTGCTGATCGCAATCCTCTAAGCCCAGCACTTCAGTCACTTTTAAATCCACGTTACTGCCTCTGCGGGCTTTGATTTTAAAAAGCGATTGAGAAGTGCAAGCTAAGAGAATATGCTTGCACTTTTCCCTAGAGAAGTAGCTAGCATGGTTTTGGCAGCAGTGAAAAGAAAACTACCATGTCCAACTAATATCTGTTTGGAGCTCATGGATCCTTCATTTGAATCCATTGCCATCTGGTCAGTTTAGTCTGTTTAATCAAAGTTATTTATCATCCTTTGTTTACAAATGAAAAAAGAAAGAAAAAAATTGGATCACAAAAG